TTCCACATTTGATGTTACCCTGCGATGCATGCAGAAAACAAGATCAGTTTGTGTACATTGGTAGCAAAATATCAAGGGCTTGTTCACACCATTTGTGGTGCAGGAACCCCCACGCATCTCAGAAATGCGTGCGCGTTTGCTGCACGCATAGTACCCTGTGGTTTGATGTGGCATGATTTTAAAAATCGCATCTTCAGTACTTTTTGTGCATTCCTACGTTTGGCAGCCCACTGAAATTAATGGGCTGCCCTAAACATGCCACGCAGAAATGCATGGGATCGTGCAAAAAATGTGTACGCTCAGGTGCACCTTTAGGGGGTGAACCAGCCCTGAGATGAGATTAAGTAGGGTTGGTGAGGGCACTAATTAGCATGACAACGACGTTTCCAAAATCCAAATGACATTGTGCTCACTTATGTAAGGATCTGATGCTTTCAGGGAATATTTTTTGTTTTATTTTTAAAGTGGTTGTAAACCTCAAACATGAAATATGGACAAAGCATACCTCTCTATAGTGTGTACTTGTCTCATTTAAGAGGACTAAGTGTCATTTCTGTCTGCTGCCTCATTCCTCTGCTATCGGAATGAATCAATTCTGACAACTTTTCCTGACACCAAGAAAAAAAATGGTGACGGCAGATTGACAGCCTCAGTTCTGTTCCTGTGAGCTCTGTGGAGGAGGGTGTGTCGTTCCCTCCAATCAGCTCTCAGATCTCTTCTTACTGAGCTGTGCAGTGTGTAACTTCATCTCTCCGACTCGTTTTTTGAACAGATAAGATAAGGGGGGGGGGAAATATTTATATACACTTTTTTACACTCCTGTGCTTAGTGCAGGATGACAGCTGGTGGTTCCAGCATGAATGGCCGCCGAATTCCAGTGCTGTTTTAAAATGGCCCCGGGACAAATAGCTGATGTGCTAAAACTTTTTTCGTTTATGTTTTCATGGCGTACTGAAGGGTTAGCAATCCTCTCAGATTTGTATTGTTGTTTCTGTCCTGTTATGGAGACTTATTTTCTTTTTTTTGTCCTGGTGACTACACACTGTTCTGGTGACTACAAGGCCTCATGCACACAGGATGTTTTTCTAATTCTTCTAGAAGCCTTTCCTCCTGGCAAAAGTATTTTGGCATTCAGCCGCATAAAGCACTTGGGCATTGACTCATTCAATTGGCCAAAGTAAATAATTTAACATAAAAAATAGTGCAGCGCTGAGGGTAGTAATCATAAAACAGATATCAGTCCACTGCAAGTCCAGTTCATAAAAACGTGTCAAGTGACAAGTGGGAATTCAATATTGGTGATCCGTGAGGAAGTGGCTGAAAAACGCACTCACCAGAAAGAAGACATATAAACGCAGTATATATTCAAAGCTCATGGATCCTCAATCCAGAAGAAAATATAGCTGGTCCGGTCACAGAAAAGTGGGTCCCTCCTTTATGGATGCAGCAACAGATCCTCCTCCTCCCAGTTAGGTGTAGGATTCCAAAGTCGGTTCTGCAAGCAAAGTGCTCCTCAAGGGAGTTTAGGGAAGGACACCTATAGTGTAGTAGGTTATGTAAAAGCAGCTTTATTAAAGGAAACAAAAGCATCCAATTCAAAGTAGGCAGGTATCATAAAGATGTGTCAGCAAGACAAACTAACCCTGACACTATGAATGATGGCCGCCGGGCCTCCACGTGGCGTAGCGTCTCGACGTCCAGACTCCTCCTAACGCGTTTACGTGCACACGCACATCTTCAGAGGTATGGAACCAGTGACGTGATGACGCGATAGGCGCATTTATATAGGCATAATGACGCATGCGCGGTTTCATATGCGCCATTGTGCAATGATTAAGGCGCATGTGCGTAGTTCCATCCGCCATTTTAATGGAGCTCACAGACACGCAAGGTAGAAAGGCGATGGTGCACCATATATCTGACAGATGGATGTCAGTGGAGGGAAGTTCAACATGGGTGTAAATACACCCATTAAAAGACGATCTAATTCAAATCTATAAAAAATAAGCGCTATTGCGCCAATATGTTGAACCTATTCCAGTTACGTGGTATAATTTGAATGTGTATAAATACATGCGTCATTATTTCATAAGTAACTCAAAATTCACCTTAATTCAAAATGACATCATGTGCATAAAATTCTTTATGCTAAAGAAAATATAAATATAAAAGAGCAATTATGTTCATCAGAAAATAAAACTGAAATATCACATATTGAACATAATATATAAAAAAGGCTAAAATTCTGAATCTACATCAACCACAGATTAGATAACGCATGTAAAAATAGTTGAAATAAATGGATAGATACGCATGTAAAATAATCAATCCATGCGTCTAAAAAATGTGATCTAACTGACTAGAACAAATGAATGTAAAAGTTAATTAAGAATTATTCAGTTATCAAAAAGTAGGTTGATGCTAATGAGTAACAATATATACATAAAATCAAATCCAATTCTACATCACCCATTTGCAATAAAGCAGTTAAGGTCTAATTCCCCGCTGGATGAGAGGTACCCAAATAATTTATTCTGGCCATTGAAATGAATTAACACTCAAGCGCTAAAGGGGCCTAGTGTTTAACATGCGTTTTGACGCGTTTAAAAGCAAAAACTCTACTGCTCCTGGATGTACTGGGAGGGTTTATTTTTCCTACCTTTAGCCACTTCCCGTCTGGCCCATGCATATAAACGGCCGGACGGTGGCAGTGCAGGGGCAGGTTGCCATTCATAAACAGCACCCGCCATTTTGGACTGTGCGTGCTCCCTGGGAGCGCGCAGCACCGCAATCCGGTGCCCGCTGTGTCCGGAGGAACACCAGTTGCTGTACGGGACCTCTGTATGAGGTCCCGATTGTGTGATCACTGATTGGCCAATCAGTGATAACATGAATAGTAGTAAGCAAGATGTCACTTCTGACATCATAGCTTACTACGTGTGAAATCTGTGAATGATCACCGAGGTCACATGGTACAAGGCTATTCACAACAACCTTGTACCATGTGACCAGCTGTGACCAATCACAGCTCACACAGTATTTCTCAATGGGTACAAGAATACAGCCAGAGAGAAGGAGAAATGATTGCTTGTACAGCCTTTATGGGTGTAAAAGCAATCAGTGTAAAAAAAAAATCATCCCCCCCACAAGTAGTACAGTGTCACTATGTAATAGTTTTTTTTTTGAAAAATTATAATTTTTGGTTATAAACTAATTTGGGGGTTATTGCTTTTACTAAAAAGGTAACGGAATAAATTTTGGCCAAGATTTATGAAGAAAGATTATTTATTTGCAAAATTTTGTAAGAAAAACACTTTTTTTTTAAACTTTTTGGACTTTTTCATTTATATAGCAAAACAAAAAAATAAAAATCCCAGTGGTAAATAAATACCACCAAAATAAAGTTTTATCTGTCTCAAACAAATGCTAAAAAATTCATATGGGTACAGTGTTGCATGACCGCGCAATTGTCATTCAAAGTGTGATAGCACTGAAAGCTGAAAATTGGCCTGGGCAGGAAGGGGGTGAAAGTGTCCGGACTTGAAGTGGTTAAATGCCCCTGCCTCTAAACTCCTCTAACATATTATGTGTGCATGGACACATAGGCTAACATGCAGACACCCCTAGAAGCAGCTGTAAAAAACATAAAGTGTGCATGAGGCCTAACACTGGGAATGAAAGCAAGATACAATCCAAAATACATAGCTGTCACTGGAATACTACAATAATCTTGTGCCACAGATAATTTTTGGCTGAATTTTTCCAAAATATTTTTGTGACATTATTTTTGGGTACGCCAACCTTTTTAAGAATCGGACTGACAAGACATTTTTGAGTCTGTATTTTGATAAAAACGCTATATGGTATATTATTTCTGGATGGTATTTTTGTGTATTTTCTTGGTCAGACTATTGATAATTATATTGAGGGTCTCATGTTTAATTTTATTATTTATCCGTTTGGTAAGATTTTTTTAATACAATATAACTGAGAGTTAATATTTATGCTAGACATCCCATGAATTCCCCTCATTTCGGGATATTTCACCTAACGTCCTGTTGCATCCCTGTGGAAGAAAGTAAAGGGATATTTCCCCAATGGTATACAAATAGCAAAAAAAGAAAACTGGCGAGTTTTAACCACAAAAAGTTTTTGTTTTTACACACATTTTAATACAGGGGCAAATGCCAATTCACGCTGCATTGTAAAGGATAACTAAACCCAAAATGACATTTAATATATTGTGGTTCACAATTTCTTAGATGTGGTAGCTGAATTAATTTTAATTTTTCAGGCTTAGAACATGTTCAGCAAGTAGAAAATACCAGTTGACCTTTCCTTCTCTGCAGTATTCTCCTGTGAGCTCTGGATAGCTTGATGTACCCTCATGGAGCAGGTCCTTAATTCAACCTAAAAGTAGGATTGCAAAGTGGGGAGTCTCCTGGGGACAGCACTGGAAAAGAGGTGAGTACTGCAGTGAGAGCTGCTTTATGTGTTTTTAGAATTGATGGGCAAACTGATGTCATACTGAAGACATTGATACAAAACCAAAGCCCATCAACACATTCCCTCAGACATGTGACTGTAATTTTTGAATGCCATTGAACTCAACTGAAAATAACTCCCTTTTTAACCAGCTCCCGCCTGCCATATAGTAAGTCATATGACGTCCTCCCATTCTAACCACGCATGCGTGGCTCCCGGAGCATGCAGCGCGGCGATTGGTGGTGCGCTGTGTCCCTTGGACACAGCGGATCAACGATCCACGGAAAGAGCCAAAGATGTCGGCTTGGTCATGTGATCAGCTGTGTCCAATCACAGCTGATCACATGTAAACAGGGAAATGCTGGTTATCGGCATTTCTCTCCTCTCAAGCTGTCATGCTGACAGCTTGAGAGGAGAGGAGAGCCGATAATCGGCATTCCGCAGAGGGGACATGTACACTGATCATCAGAGCACTGATGATCAGTGTGTCCTGATGATCAGTGTAGCCCCAGCAGTGCCACTTTGTCAGTGTCCATCAGTGCCAGCTGTCAGTGCTCATCAGTGCCAGTGCCACATCAATGCCACATATCAGTGCCTACCAGTGGACATCAATGCCACATATCAGTGCCCATCTGAGCTGCCTTTCAGTGTCACCCATCAGTGCTAGTCAGTGACGCCTAACAGTGCCAGTCAGTGTCGCCTGTCAGTGCCAGACAGTGCCACCTATCAGTGCCATATATGAGTGCTGCCTTTCAGTGCCCATCAGTGATGCCTGTCAATGCCCATCAGTGCCACCTACCAGTGCCTCCTCATCAGTGCCACCTATCAGTGTCCATCAGTGCAGCCTATCAGTGCCCATCACTGCAGCCTCATTAGTGCACGTCAGTGAAGGAGAAATATCACTTATTTACAAAATTTTATAACAAAAACTAAGAAAAAACTTTTTTTTTCTCAAAATTTTCAGTGGTTTTTGGTTTGTTTAAGAAAAAATAAAAAAAAAACCCAGAGGTGATTAAATACCACCAAAATAAAGCTCTATCTGTCACAAAAAAATTATAAAAATGTCATATGGGTACAGTGTTGCATGACCGCGCAATTGTCATTCAAAGTGCAACAGCGCTGAAAGCTGGAAATTGGCCTGGGCAGGAAGGGGGTATAAGTGCCCTGTAGGCTTGTGGTTAAAAATAAAAAGGTGAAAGTGCCACACTTAAAGTGTTTTGTTGCAAAATAAAATCTTATATGGACTTTAGGAACTAGTATGGTGGTCCTAATTTTTTATTTTTTTTTAGTAATCTCCTCCGAGAGTCCAGCAGGACACCATAGTTGCTGGTGAGCAGCCTCCAGGATTGCACACTACATATAATGTTACAACGCTCCTGTACCTTTTGGAAAAAAAGAATCTATCTTGGTGCATTAGCTTTTAGAATTAAATCTATGGTACAGTATATAAAGGATCAGCCTATCCAAAAATAGTATGGACAAATGTGAGGGCTAACAGCACCCCATTTGGCAAGATCTCTGCATTTGAATTCTTTGGCTTGTACACATGCTGTAACATGGGGTCACATGTTCCTTTTGGATTTTTAACATAGAAGTCATGAACATTTTTCATGTGACAGCATCACATATTAGCCAGTAGAGCTTTTGCAGCAATCTCCTGAAACAAGTAGATCAGAAGAATTATGTAACCTGATTTTATAAGATGATGTACTCTCCGCTCCTCGCAAGACCTCCTACTCTCCAACTCCCTTGTCTCCTCCTCCCATGCTCGTCTCCAGGTCTTCTCCAGAGTTTCCCCATCCTCTGGAACTCTCTACCCCAATTTATCAGACTATCGCCTATTCTGCTCACTTTTAGGCAATCTCTGAAAAACTATCTCTTCAGGGAAGCCTATCCTGCCCTCAGCTAATGCTGGAATCTTCTCTTCCATCCAGTCCATCCCCCACAACCATTAGCCGCCTGGCCAAATGGCCATTGGCCAGGCGGCTAATGGTTAATGACCAGGCCTCTTTTTGCTACTCGGCGCTGCACTAATTCAACTGATAATTGCGCGGTCATGCAATGCTGCACCCAAACGAAATTTAGGTCCTTTTTTTCACACACAGAGCTTTCTTTCGGTGTGTCGTCGGCTTTATTTCTATGCCGACGACACACAAATTTACTTCTCCACCCCTCACCTCACCCCTCTCTCTCTCTGCCCACATCGCCCACCTCCTGAACGACATATCATACTGGATGTCGCTCCATTTCCTCAAATTAAACCTGTCCAAAACCGAGCTCCTAGTTTTCCGCCCAACCCGGGCTCCCCCCCATCCTCTTCATCACGACTAGCAACGCCACCATCAATCCCACCCCACACGCCAAAGTCCTGGGTGTCACCCTGGACTCAAACCTTTCCTTCCAACCTCATGTCCAATCACTATCAAAGTCATGCAGGCTCCACCTCTGCAACATCTCCAAGATACGTATGTTCCTCACCCCAGACACTACTAAACAACTTGTTCACTCCCTTATTATCTCACGCCTGGACTACTGCAACTCCCTTCTCACCGGCCTACCCAAACAAATGCTATCCCCACTCCAGTCTATCCTGAACTCAGCGGCTAGACTCATCCACCTCACCAACCGCTCCACATCTGCCAATCCCTTCACTGGCTCCCGATTGCCCAACGGATAAAATTCAAATGACTAACTCTGACATACAAAGCCATTCACAACGCCGCCCCAAACTACCTCACTGACCTGATACCCAAATACTACCCTACCCGTGTCCTTCGCTCCTCACAGGATCTCCTACTCTCCAGCTCCCTGGTCTTCTCCTGCCATGCCCGACTGCAGGACTTCTCTAGGACTTCCCCCATCCTCTGGAACTCCCTACCCCAATCCATCAGACTGTCACCTACCCTCCTAACCTTCAGGCGCACCCTAAAAACCCATCTCTTCAGGGAAGCCTACCCCACCCTCACCTAACAACCGATCTCCTCCACTCCTCCTACCACTCCATCCCCCACAGCCACTTCCTCCTGTACCACTTCCCCTCCCTCCTAGATTGTAAGCTCGAAAGAGCAGGGCCCTCGAACCCCTCGTGTATTGTTTTGTACTGTATTGTCTCATGTTCTGTCCCCCTCGTTAATGTACAGCGCTGAGCAAACCCTTCGGCGCTATATAAATACTGAATAATAATAATAATGATCAGAGCCCTCTGTTTGTTTTTCTTGTTCGTGAAAAAGATCCCTTCAGTCTCTGAGGAGCTGCCATCAGTGTGCGGCATATCTCTCCCTAACTATTGGAACTGTACATGCTACCACTCAAGTGTTACCTACCTGTGCACGATCTTTGTACATGCCAGCCAAGGGAACCATTGCATGTGGTGGGGTAATAGACGTTGGCTCCAACTGTAAGTCCTCATGCACTCATGGACATTTTTTACGCAGCTCTTAGGGGTGTCTGGCATTTTTTTCCCTGCCTCTAATGTTTAGTGTATGTGTCCATGCACACAGGCGTTTAGAGGCAGAGAAAAACCCTCCTGCCAGCACATCCATCTGCAGCGTCGTTTTGGCAGAAAAAAATGCTTGACACATTTCTAAACATGCACTAACACAAGGCACGTTTAACGTTTGAGTGCTAATTCATTTCAATGGCCAGGATAAATTAATATTATGGCCAATTAAATGAATTAACACCAAGTCCTTGACCCTTATAAATGTGCCTACACCCGTTACATGCATTTACAAGCATCAAGCATTTTTTTGCAAAAACACAACTCGGGAGTAAAGTTATCTAGGAGAGATAGCAAAAACATCCAGTGTACATGAGGTCTAAGGGTCGAATATCTACAAAGCCAGGGAGCAATGAAGTTGTGGTAATAGTGGTGAGACCCTCCTGCGCTCCAAATAATGTGTTTAAACAATTAAAACAAATTAAATATATGAACCCCAAACAGCTGCTAGCATTAAATCATATACCAGTGATCAAGTGAATATAAACCATATAAATGCTGCGCTACATTCAAACTTATTAAGTGAATGTGGAATCCAATGACACAAATCCAATATAGTGACAATAATAATGAAATAAATAATACGTGCTTACTGATAACAAAAATATCAAATAAAACACCCAAAAAGATGAAAAAACACAAACTTAAATCTATACGCATGTGCATGAAAATACACATACATATAATTACATCACACGTGCAAATGTGAAGTGAAATAATGGTTACTTATTAAACGTAAACAAAAAGTCCAATATAAAAATGTTGAAGGTGAACAAAACTGTAAACGGTGTTTCCAATAATACTGTAAAGTGACCACAGGTGAAAACAAATCGTGCAGGTATCTGGGTGTAGATAGAGCTTATGAATCCAACCACCTTCTGGATTAGCCTCTCACCTCATCACTTCGACCCTTGCGGATCAAAGAGCAATAATGGATCCCTCTCACAGATCCTCCAGGCACCACAGCACTCCAAAAACGCTTTTCAGGATTTAATATTCCCACGCAAGCTCTTCTCCAGGTATAGGTGAAATATCAATCTCTCAGAACAAAACAGAGGAATCCTCCCATAGTGTAGTATATTTATTATACCATAGGAACATAGGAACATAAAACTTTTTGGTAAAAATTCCACTTACATAGCAGCCAGTCCACATGAGACCCTCATGCTCTCAGATGAGGATATATCTGTGTTTGTTGGGTGTACAGCTGAATAACAGGTGTACCAAGATGGCCGCCACGCCGGAAATACGTCACCGCGCTTACGCCGACGCGTTACGTCACAATAACACGTGACTTCATCTGAGCCCTGATGAAGTCACGTGTTATTGTGACGTAACGCGTCGGCGTAAGCGCGGTGACGTATTTCCGGCGTGGCGGCCATCTTGGTACACCTGTTATTCAGCTGTACACCCAACAAACACAGATATATCCTCATCTGAGAGCATGAGGGTCTCATGTGGACTGGCTGCTATGTAAGTGGAATTTTTACCAAAAAGTTTTATGTTCCTATGTTCCTATGGTATAATAAATATACTACACTATGGGAGGATTCCTCTGTTTTGTTCTGAGAGATTGATATTTCACCTATACCTGGAGAAGAGCTTGAGTGGGAATATTAAATCCTGAAAAGCGTTTTTGGAGTGCTGTGGTGCCTGGAGGATCTGTGAGAGGGATCCATTATTGCTCTTTGATCCGCAAGGGTCGAAGTGATGAGGTGAGAGGCTAATCCAGAAGGTGGTTGGATTCATAAGCTCTATCTACACCCAGATACCTGCACGATTTGTTTTCACCTGTGGTCACTTTACAGTATTATTGGAAACACCGTTTACAGTTTTGTTCACCTTCAACATTTTTATATTGGACTTTTTGTTTGCGTTTAATAAGTAACCATTATTTCACTTCACATTTGCACGTGTGATGTAATTATATGTATGTGTATTTTCATGCACATGCGTATAGATTTAAGTTTGTGTTTTTTCATCTTTTTGGGTGTTTTATTTGATATTTTTGTTATCAGTAAGCACGTATTATTTATTTCATTATTATTGTCACTATATTGGATTTGTGTCATTGGATTCCACATTCACTTAATAAGTTTGAATGTAGCGCAGCATTTATATGGTTTATAATGAAGTTGTGGTGTTTCAAGACATAGGCCATCTGGAAGTATAGACTCGGATTTTTTGACAGGGCAGATTTTTTTTTTTTATAAATGTCCCTGTGAGGACTTAAACTATATCTGTTATTGTGTCAAAATGTATTTAATACAAACCATTAAAGCCCAATTGAACCTTCAGTTTGAATGAGCTAAATACATTCCAAGTGCATCAAAGCTAAAGTTGTGAAAGCTCTACATTTGGTTTCCTTTAAAAATTG